GGGCCCGGGGCGCGCGGGGCGGCGCTGGCGGCGCAGGCGCTCGTGCTGCTGCTCGTCTTCCTGCTGTCTAGCCTGGGCAACGGCGCCGTGGTGGGCGCGATCGTCAAGCACCGGCCGCTGCGCACGGTCACCAACGCCTTCGTGCTGTCGCTGGCGCTGTCCGACCTTCTCACCGCGCTGCTCTGTCTGCCCGCCGCCTTCCTGGACCTGCTGGCGCCGCCCGGGGGCCAGGGGCCGTGGCGCGGCTTCTGCGCCGCCAGCCGCTTCTTCGGCTCGTGCGGCGGCATCGTGTCGTCGCTCAGCGTGGCGCTCATCTCGCTCGACCGCTACTGCGCCATCGCGCGGCCGCCGCGGGACAAGCTGGGCCGCCGCCGCGCGCTGCAGCTGCTGGCCGGCGCCTGGCTGGCGGCGCTCGGCTTCTCGCTGCCCTGGGAGCTGCTGCTCGGGGCGCCGCGCGGGCCCCCGGCCGCCGCCGCGCAGAGCTTCCACCGCTGCCTCTACCGCACCTCCCCCGACCCCGCGCAGCTGGGCGCGGCCTTCAGCGTGGCGTTAGTGGTGGCCTGCTACCTGCTGCCCTTCCTGCTCATGTGCGTCTGCCACTTCCACATCTGCAGGGCCGTGCGCCTGTGCGACGTGCGCGTGCGGCCCCTGACCACCCCCGCGCGCGCGCTGCGCCTCTTCCGCGAGGTGCGCACCGCCACCACCGTGCTCCTCATGATCGTCTTCCTCATCGGCTGCTGGGGCCCCCACTGCCTCCTGGTGCTGCTGGCCGCCGCCCGGCAAGCGCAGGCCAGCCGCGCCCCCTCGCTGCTCGACGTGCTGGCCGTGTGGCTGACCTGGGCCAACGGGGCCATCAACCCCCTCATCTATGCGGTCCGCAACCCCAACCTCTCCATTATGCTGGGGCGCAGCCGCGAGGAGGGCTACCGGACTAGGAACGCGGGCGCCTTTCTGGTCTGCCGGGGCCGGGTTCTGCAGCCCAGGAACTGCAGTCGCCTTCGGAACCGCTGCGCCAGCAGGCTCGGGGCCTGTAGCAGGGTGACCTGGTCCAACCCGGCCAGCGGGGCAGGAGGAGACCTGGTCATGTGGGCCCGCAAAAACCCGGTTGTGCTTTTCTGCCGGGAGGGACCAGCAGTGTCTGGGACAGCAGAGGCCAAACAGCCTAAATCCGAGGTCCGAGATACCAGCCTCTGAGGGTTGGGACCGACAGTTTCAGAAGAAAAAGCATTCCGCGGAGACTCGGATTTCACAAGCCAAACATTTGAAACTCGAAAGACAGAGCGGGAGGGTTACCGCTTCCTCCAGACAGCGTAAAAGACAGTGTTCCCTTCTTCAAAAGTGTTAAAAGGAATGTAAAATGCACAAATTAAAACAAATCTTAAACCACACAGCCAAGCATTGTGAATTGTAAGTGCCAAAAACCAAAACTCAACCATCCCTGAAAAGCTCATATTACAGGAATCACACTGTGAAACAAACAAATCACCGAATACAGTCAATATATGTTCAAACAGTAGAGTTTCAGGAATGGAGTCCTCGGAACCACTGAAGGCCCTCTGAATCACCAGCATTCAACAGAAAGCCGGCTTCCAAACTGCACTTGTACACAGGCTTTGAGTGCTTAGGTTGGGGAGCAGAAAATTCCTATTTTTACCTAAATTGGTGCACTTCTTCCCCAAGCATGTGATCTTTGTGGGAAGTTTTAAAGTCAGATCCTATTAGAAACCATTTTAGGGAGCTGGGGATTTAGCTCAGCGGCACAAGCGCCTGCCTGGCAACGTCAAGGTCCTGAGTTTGATTCCCAGTACCTAAATAAATAAATAAATAAAACCATTTTAGGATTTTGAAAGGATGGTTTATTACTAGGTGAAATACAGCTAGCTGAAGGGCAAATCGAAATATGCACATAAATGTGGCTGTTTTTAAAAAGTATTCGAAGCTGGGGATGTAACTCAGTGCCAGAGTGCTTGCCTAGCTGAGCGCAAGTCCCTGGGGTTGGTCCTCAACCTTGCAGGGAAAAAGGATAAAAAGTAAAGTATTCGAAGATGATGCATACAAATTAATGTCCCTTCTACAGCCTCCCCCAAGATCATCTGCGCCTGGAGAAGGAGGGTTTGTCCTTTACCCTGTTGCTCTTTTTGCTGACTTCTAGGATGCCACTGTCAGAATGCTTTCACATTAGAAAAAAAGGAAAAAAGACTTTCATAGTAGAAAATTTTTTTTCTTTTGTGGTAAATTTGATGTTTTCATGTAGTCAAACTAATTTGAAGTCGAATTGATTGAATAAGGTGAATATTCTGTAAAGTAACAAGGTTGGCTTTTCTATGTGACTTTTTATCTAACTAAAGGTGATTCCAAAGAGATATTCTAAGAATAGTGTGAGAGGTGGCCACATTCTTAGAATAGGCCCAGAGCTGTCTCAGAGGTCATGTTCTCCTACATTTGGAAGTCTGGGTATTTCTTAATAGCCAATTGTTGTTTTATGGTTATGATTTATATAAAACAGTCTTCATTCAAAAGGGAATAGAAGTGTCAGATTATTATGTGGAATAGGGAATTAAAAACATGGGCATAAGGTTGGAGAGGTACCTCAAGCAAACTGAAAATAGCTGCAGAGATGTGCAAAACAAAGGTGTTTGTAGAGTGATTTAAAAATGCAGTTTAGGATTTGTGTATGTGGATTTCTCACACTGGATGCCTCTGTGCACTGAGTGACCCCGAGTTCGAAGGTGATCTCCTGTTTATCCCTCTTTCCTTCCTTCCGTCTTGCTCCTCTTTTCTGCAGTGTTTCATGGCCTTACGTGAGTGAGTCCTTTAACCTAGTTATGAAAAGACATTGCCTGTCATATAAAGATCTCCATGTGAAATAACCAGCATTTTTTCTTGTAAGGCATTTAAGGGTGTTTGTCAGTATTTAAGTGTTTGTGTGACGTGTCACTATTTTGTAATCGATGATGAAATACATGATTCCTGTCAGAGCAAGATACGTTCTAATTTTCTGCTTCTCTGGGTATCATCACAATCAGAAGTTTGTAAGGTGTCTATATATTTTGCCACACTCGGTATATTTCAAAGTAGATAATATCTCCTCCCTAACACTTATTGTAAAACATACAGACTTAATGCAGCTGGACTAATATTTAACAGAAATCTGCAGTATTTCCTTGTTGAACGAAAAGTTATTTTATGACATTCTGAAAAATGGCTTGTAGGAGTTAGGGAGAAATGGTAAAGTCTTCTTGCTATGGAGCAGACAGTAGAATAGGAGTTCAACAACTGTAAACAGAGGGCAGGAAGAGAGTGAGGATGCGACATGGGATAAACTTGCCTGGTGTAAAGGGAAAGCTGGGTGATTGGAAGGGACCAGCAATAGCATTAAGGACTTTAAAAAAGAAAAGCAGGGCTGGGATGGGCTCAGGGGTAGAGCTCTTACCTTGCATGCACAGGGATCTGGGTTTGATCCCCAGCACCCCAATGAAAGAAAGAGAGAAAGAGAAAGAAAGGGACAGCAACCCTCCTTTGAACGGAAAGTTTCAGAAAAGAAATGGCTTAGGAAAGAGGCCATTCTGATAGCGACTGTAAGAATCATGCTTAACAATAATGGAAGGGAAAGAGAAGTTTCTAATAAGTTCCTGAACAGTTTACAACATCATGTGTGTGTGTGGATGCATGTGTACACATGCATGCGCTTAGTTTTTAATTTGAGGTTATAAAACTATTAGTGGTACAACTAGGACTCACATTGCAGTCTGTCAGGCCTAAAAGCCCCATGTTTCCTTCTCTAGCTTCTGTGCCCCTCAAAAGTCTATGGGCAAGCCAGGCACGGTGGCACACACCTGTAATCCCAGCACTCAAGAGGCTGAGGCAGGAGGATCGTTGCAAGTTCGAGACCCACCTGAGTTACAAGGTGAGCTCAAGTCCAGCCCCAACTGCATAGTAAGACCTGTCTCAAAAAGAAAAAAGAGGGGGCTGGGGATTTAGCTCAGCAGCACATGAGTTCCATTCCCGGTACCAGAAAAAAAAACAAAATAAATAAATAAATAAATAAATAAAAAGTCTATGGGCAGAGAAACCTAGGATGGGAAGTTATGAAACTATCATCATCATTAATTGCTATTTTTGTTTTCTACCCTGTAATACACAGTTTCCTTGATGCTAAATCTATGAAGTGGTAGAAGTCACAGTACCTGTCTGCAAGGGGCTTACAACCTAATTGAGGACCTTGTGCTTTATAATGATCATCCATATCCAGAGCTCTGATTCAATTATGGGGAAGGAAAGATAGGACATTTTTCATAAAAGATTATTAGTGAAAGGAGGGGAACTGGGAAGCAAAAGATATGCCAATAAAGGTCAGCAGCCTACCTGCTTCAGTGTAAATACTAAATCAATGTTTTGAGTAAAAAGACAGTAACACTCAAATAAATCTAAGGCTTAGATCTTCCTTCACGCTTGCAATGAATGTGCAATTATATGACTTAGTGAGAGGATGGAAGAGAGAAACTGTTAAATATTAGGATTAAATATCACAATGTAAAGGTCAGAATATAATCCTTCATATCTCTTTTTGCTCCCAGCCTGAGTATTTCATTTGGGTCACAACAATAACAGCAACAATAATCCAGTGTAGAAGGTACCTTAGCCCGCTAATCTTCCGAACAGCTTTATGAAGGAGGACTGTTATTATCCTTCTTCCAGTTTTACAGATTAAAAAAAAGCCAAGGCAGAGAGGTACTGTGTACTCCGCCTAAGGTCACACGGCTAGTGAGTGCCGAACATAAGACTTATACATGGCAGATTGCTGCCTGAAGCCCTCCCTTAACTACACGAAGTTGCCTGTCTCATTTGTAAAAGAGGATAGGAAACCTGGAAAAGAACCAGAGAAGACAGGCAACTGTCAAAGCAATGGGGAAGTGCAGAGTATAAAATTTCAATTTGGAGAACAGGTATACAAGGTGTGCGTGTGTTTAAATATATAAAGATGTTCTGAATAGTTATTTTCTGGAATAGTCCCAACCCTTTGGACAAGGACCACAATCATCCATCTTGTCTATCTTCTGCCCATCCGTCCTCTGCACTTCCTGCTCCAGGGAAGCTGAACACAGTTGGAGAAAAACTGCAATCACGTCACCCTCTGCCCTAGAACCCATAGCTGAGTCCGCCTCTTCCACCATGCTCAGCCACCTGAACTATTCCTGTGTCAACTCATTCTTACTTCCCGCTGTTGTGACCCTTCAAACATTCTTTACTTCAGCAGTTAGCCAGCCCTGTTATCACGGAAAATGACCTTTCTCTTGACATGCACGTATATCTTCCTATTTATCATATTCATATATACATCTTCATATTTTAGCCATCAAACCTAAAAAACTTACCTCAACTTATACTAGTTTTCAGTTCTGTCTTTCCAAGTACATTAGAATGACTGGGTCCTCCTCTAGCCTCAGGAATCTTGTGGTATCAGTGTTCTGCATTCCCTAGTTCCTTTAGCTTTCCTGCTGAACGAGATCACTCTCACGTGCACCTAAACATGCTCTGATCTCCCCTTGAGAAAAAACTTCCTCCCCTCTCCCCGCTTTTCACACCCTCAGCTCCCTCCCTTCAGCCAAATTCACACAGAGATTGCCTGTACTTGTCCATTGATCTAAGTTCTAGTTAACAGTTTTAGGAGCACAAGAAAGGCATTCTTTTTCTACAAGTCAATTTTTCCCTACTTCTGCCAAGTGGGAAAATGTGAAGATGGTAGCACGTAGAGTTTCGGGCTTATTTAGCACCAAGGTACTGGTGAGCGCTAGTTCCCGCGTTCATCCACCCACACCAGCATCTGTTAGTCTCTTTCCAGCTTGCATCCGCATCTTGCTGCAGTTACCCTTCACTTGAAGCCAAGAGGACCCAGCTTCAATCCCCTGGAGAGCTCCCCCCTGAATACAGAAACATCTTTTCCTGCGGCACCACTGAGGCCAGTGGCCACACCCATGAGGCCGTCTCAGGCTGCTTTTTAAAGTTATTTAAATTTTTTTTTTATTGTTTAATACACTTTATATTGTTGGGTCAATAAGCCAAAATATACATTAAGAATTTCCCTTCCAGGATGGACATGAGGAGCTCTGTGGACCTGCTCCCCAAGGAAACGAGTATAACTAATGGAAACCATTTTGAAAACTACTGCTTGCAGTCTCTTGAGATTGGCCGAAGGGCCTACAGTAATTGAATGAATATTTATTCAAGAAAATCTGCTAGAGTCAGGAATGATAGTGAATATGGCATTTGAATTGAGCAAATCCCATTCTCTCTCCTGCTCCCAGTCCACATGACAGAAATTGCACTGCTGGAGGATACAGCTAGGAGCACAGGCTCCTTACCCAGCTCTCTCACACACACAGAGGTGTTTTCCCTAGGAGCCAAGGTCATGAGAAGTTGCATCTCTGGCTACAAGTTGAAAATGTTCAATTCTAATATATCCAAGAAATTAGAAATTCTTTATTTCCATTCATCTAGCACCATGCATAGGGCGGATGCTTTGCTTCGGTTGTGCTATGCTAGGAATCCTGGGGCTATGGTTGTCCTCAGTCCAATTCCCTTGTAGGACTGAGGCTGTATTCCAGAATAGGCCCTGAGAAAACCAGACCACCGCCCCTACCCAGTGCTTGCTCTTAAAGAAAGGTGTTCACTCCAAGAAAGGAAGGCCGTTGTCCCTGCCCCTGGCTTCAGAGCTGCGGCTCAGGGGATTTGTCCAGTAGTAGGGACTGGTCTTCACACAAGCAGACCTTTCTCCAAAGGAACTAACTTTATTTGAAGCAGAACATGGGGAAGTTCAAATCTAGGAGTATTGCCAAAAATAATGGAGTTTTGGTAGTAAATAAGTAAGAAGAGTCTAATAGCTTGCTGAGAGATAACAGTAAAATTAGAGGCCAGGTAGGTTACCAGAGAGAACTGGGAAATGAAATAGCTAAGGAGGTTGTTCTGATTTCTGTCAGAACAGACGCTAACCTCAAAAACTTACCCATGCAATTTGATCAGAGTGTGGAGCAAGGTGTGTATTCCTCAGAGCACTGTCAGTAACAATAGAATCATTAGCCAGAAATGACTGACCATTATGCACGACTGAGGAAAGGACAAAGAGATTCCTACTGAAAATGCTGTCATCTAGAGTGACGTGGGTGTACCCGAGGCGGGCGGAGGCTTCATACTGTAGAGCAGAATGACTCCCCCAAATTAGTTCAGCCAATGACTAAACAAATAAACAGTAGCAAGCCCTGGAGAGAGAAGTGTGGGAACCTGCATGCAGGAAGCTACAGTTGCCCAGCTATTTCCCTAGTTCTCTCTACCTATCTCTCTCTCTCTCTCTATCTAGTTTGCAACAACAGTAGCAATAAAAATGTGAACAGAAACATGAACAGAAGCTAAAAAGTATAAACTATACCCAGCCACCCTCCCAAAAAACCAAGTTACAGAAGGCTAACTTTAAGAAGGACAAGATGTCAGATTTCGGAGACAAAGTCTTTAAAGTAACCCTTACAACTATGCTCAAGGAATTAAAAAGAACTTTATGCTCAGAGAAGTAATAGAAGGCATATCAATAATGTCTGCTCAATAGAGAGAAAAGAGATGTGTAAAGATTCTGTGTACAATAACTGAAATTAAAGTACAATAACTGAAAGGTGTAATACCTGAAATTAAAAATTCACTAGAGGGGCTTGAACTGGTAGTAATATAGTGCATATACTATAGGGATGATATAGGACCTCCAAATAATCCAAATAATATAAGGGAAATATAACTCCCAACCTGCTAGATGTCTGTATAGTGAGTTTGTGATCTCTAAAATCAAAGAATGAATTCCAGGAAGAACAGAGGTTAAGAGTAGGAAATTTTATTGAAAGAAAGACAGCTTCTGTCTAAGAGAGATAGGAGAGGTCCCAAGTGGGTGGGGGTTTATAGTTCTCAAGGGAGTTTTATTGAGTGAAAT